CCCCCCCCGCCCCGACGGCCGCCGCCCCCGCCCGCCCCGCCGCCTTCTTCCGGCCGCCCGCACCCCCGACCATCGCCGCCGACGTATCGTCGCCGCGCGCCGGGGGCGGGGAGACCCGCTTGTAGACGCGTAGGTCGTCCTCTTCGCCCGAGTGCGAGAGACGGTAGTTCTCGGAGACGTATGAGATGACCTCGATCGTCGGCAGGCGGTCGCCCCCCCTGCCGCCGCCTTTGCCTTCGCAGGCCGCTCTTGAGTAGATAAGCTTCCAGCTGGGGGGGGGGGAAAGGAGAGAGAAAAACCGAGCAAATGTGTTTTATGACCTTTAGCATGGGGGGCTTACCCGTGACCAAAGCAAACGTCAGTCTCAGCGCGGTTGAAAACACAAAATGCTGCTACAGGGGGTAGATAGTGTGGGACCCCGTGGGTGGGCGACATGAGAAGCTATTCACATGCAACTCTTTGTGTGTTTGTATTGGTACTGTAGGGTGTGGGTGGCAGATCGAAACGAGAGAGCATGTTTCGGAACAGAAACACAAGCGCACGCCGAACACGGGGGGGTAGGCAGCGACGGGCGGCGAGAGGAGAGGCGATGCGACGCGATGGATGGATTCAGTTAAGTCGAAAAACAACAAGAGCGTCCCGCCGCACATCTATCCAATCAAAGCGCCGCACACCGTAACATTCTGCACTAAATTCACGCAGAGGGGACCGAAACATCGCAGACATCCGCCTGCAGTTTCTCGCTACCCTTAGCGGTATGAGAGCATGCCCATACTGGTCGACACCAGAGTCTGCTGTTTACAACACCTCTACATGTACCTGCCACGCAAATGAAAAAAAAATACGCGGGGGACACACACCTTCCCGTCAGTCCCGATTTCTGCGACCCGAACTCCGCCGCGTTGTCCTGCAGGGATTCCAGCTCCGTGGCAAGGCGTCGCACGCAGTCTTGCTTCTGCGAATCGAGGTCGAGGTTTGTTGATTTTGGTTTGATATTTTTTGAGGCGGCATACTCTCACCAGAGGGCAACGAAACAAATTCCGGGGTACTTGAACAAGAAGGCCGAAACTTCAATACAGCAGTTACTACATGCAGGGTCGGGCAAGCTCCCAACTACGAACTGCTGTCGTGGTGGATGGGGATAGCGCGAATCTTGGGTGGGTAGAATCGGCAGCAAAAGTGGCTTGGGTGTACTGTTAAGCGGGCCGCGCTGAATTGGCATATACTGCTCTACGGGCATATCGCTTGCATGGACAAGAAATATTTGAAATGTTGAGGCTGCCATTGGGGCAGCGCCGACGGGATACTTAAGTTGGCGTACAGAAATACATCGATCGTGGGAGGGGCCGCCAGCCGTCGACCATATTGATAGTATACCCTCTGGGGGGTGCATGGTTTTTGATACACTGCCCACCGCTCGAATCGAAACAAGCGGGCTCTTTTCATCCCACATCTATGTTCATGGAATATTCATGAGTCAAGAGCAATAAGGGCCTACTGCTGTACCGTTCAAGTCAGGTACAGCAGTTAATCGGGGGGATGCGAAACTCGTGCGTGCGGCGTGGGGGTGGGCAGGGGGAGGCAGGCCATCAGCTAATGACGGTCACGCACACACCGACCACGCATCCCTTCCTCCACTACTAACATTAACAACATGCATTCTCGAAGTGGCTTTTGAAAAAAAAAAAAACTTGTGTTTTCGTTCGATTTGTTCATTCCGACTGGAACGAAAGGCAGCTGACGCGAGAAAATAATGGCTTACCCAGAGCGAGAGTCAGAGAGCACCCGAGATATTTTTTGGAACTCGTCTAGACGAACAACCTGGATTTTTCGCTCGCAAAACGTCACTCCTTGGTTCTAATCGCGCCCACGGCGGGCGATGGCGGGCGGTAGTTGCGATTGCGTGACACACGTACACGCGCGGCATCACCCCCCGTCGTCACACGTCACCCGGGAAAAATATGATAACGGCCAGTTCGTTGATTTCGGAATAGACACAGAGGTTGTTCCAACGGCGCATCGTCAGCAAGGACACAAAAATGCAAACGGCAATGTATATAGCATCCGCCGCTTGCGTGATCGATTTCTCACCCACAGCCGCTCTGTGTGTGCAGCTTGCGCTAGGCGGCTAGATGGCATCGAGTGGGGGCGGGACAATGCGCAACTCCTTTCATGTTTGTCCCAATGGATCGTTACACAAGTCTATTTCCGGTATGCAGGAGGGAGGAGAGCGGGAAAAGGACAACCTCTTCAGCTGCAGTGCAATGAAGGGGTTGACGTTGGATGTAGCGAACCGGTGCCCGCATCTCATGTCGAAACTACACAGCAGCCGCATCAAGAGGGATAGAAAACTCCCTCCCCCCTCTCCCACCACGACAAAACACAGACATAATGCGCTCGCAGGGAGGGCGGGGCGGGGGGAGGGTGGGGGGCGGGGAGGGTTCGATGCCTGCCCTCGCGAGAGCACACGCACCTTGCACGACATGCTGTTCCCCTCGATGCGGATGAGCGAGCTCAGCTGCCCCTCCAGAGACTGCCTCTCCTTCTTGACCAGCACCTTCTTCTTGAGCTCGTGGTAAACCTCCGCGGCCTTCGAGAGAGAGCGGGAACAGAAGCAAGCGTGGAAGGGTAAGCACCGGAGGGGCGGAGGGGGGGGGGGGGGAG